GAGAAAAGAGCTTCAGGATGTATCAGAGTCATGTTTGCCAAGGAGTGTTTGACAGTTGTGGAATGGCTTCTGGGACTTATACAGCCCTGGCCACTACACTCACTGGTAAATGAGGGAGGCTGGGCAAGACCCCAGGATCTGCTGGCCTGTGCAAAAGCCAGAACTGGATGTTAGCTGGGCCAAACTAGGCCCAGTACGTACCAATTCACAGAAGAACTGGGATTGGTGACAGGCCAGGCTGAGCTAGACTGTGTAGCACCTGCTGTGAGAGCTGCGACTAAGGCCAGGCCCAGTTAGATTGGGCCAAAACACATGCTGACACAAGTAAGAGCCAGAACAGAATGAGGGCTGGACTGGCCCAATCCACGTTACGACCATTTCACATGAGAATTAGGGCTGGGAGCAGGACGAACTGCACTAAGCTGTAACATGTGCTAGTTTACGTAAAAACTGGAACTGGGGGTAGGCCTGGTGGTTACTTATGGTCATTCTTACTAGGCTGCAGCACCAATCAGGATGCATGGGAAGTGGACCTGCAGCAATCTGGGTAGGGTAGGTGCAGTACCTGCTAGTTCCTGTGAGAGCTAGGTCTGGAGGCAGGACTGATCAGGCAGCTGCACCCACCAGAATGTGAGTAGGCTGAAGCAGGAGATGGACTGAACCTGGTCCTGCACTAACTGGCATACACAAGTCAACTCTGAGGACTTCCAGGTGAGGTTTCTTGAGAGATTCCCTAATAAACCACTGGAGTCAAACCCCATCCTCAAGGAAAACTGAAGATATGTGGTTCAAGCTTGGAGCGCAAATCTCGAGACTGGGGCTCCTCAGTTGTTGATGCCCATGGGGAGCAGCCGGATGCACACAGGAGACATGGCAATGAGTTAATCTAGGCCAGCAGAGGACAATGAGTGCCTCATCAGAGGATGGAACGCAGAAGAGCGTGGATAATTCTCTTGGCCAAGCTAGCAGCATTCTCCTGGGTGTGTGGATGCACTAAGGTGGAACTGATCAGCCAACAGACCTTGGAAAGATTTTCTCTACCCTGGTGTAATGAAGCCAACAACATTTCAGAATTCTTAAAGTCACCGAAGTAACAGCCTCAGGATATTCTTCCCTGCATTGCGATCTCAAAGGAGTTGTTAAACGCCCATCCACTAATCCACAGGTGCTGATGTAGTTTGACAGCAAGGGAAAGATCCTTTCCATTAATTACCACCCCATATCTTCCTGTGGACACTGGAGAAAAAAAGAAAAGAACTGAAACATCGATCTTATCCTCCTTCCTCCACAGCTCAATTCTCACTGTAATCAGAGGCCCACATGTGTATGCATCTATCTCAACTATGTAATCAATATGAAAATTTTTAGATAAAGAGATGAGTCACATGATTTATCTGAATTAACAATAAATGTTTGTAACAGACTGTCCATACTATGTCTAGCTCTAGAGTTCAAAAAACATTTAGTTTGTATAGGTCCTTATACTATGCTTTAAAGTTAATATCCCTTATCAGTTTTAAATGTTGCTTAACCAACCAATTAAAATATTCAACAGCTTTTAGGACAGTTTGATTAGAGAATAAATGGATGTTTAAAAAATATCTATTTCATGATTGAGCTGATTGTTTAATTTCTTTAGCTGAAGAATATATTCCCGTGTTAGATTAAGTAATAGGAAGTATGCAAAAACCAGGCTCACAACATGTCATAGGGAATAAAAATGACACCTACAGCACTGGCATCCCATATGGTGCCAGTTTAAATCCTGGCTTGCCACTTCCAAGGCAGCTCCCTGCTAATAGACAAGGATGGCAGATGGCCCAAGTGCTTGGCCTCTGCACATATTTGGGAGATCCAGAAGAAACTTCTGGCTCCTGACGTTGGAGGGCCCCAGGTCTGGCCTTGGCAGCCAATTGAGGTGTGAATGTTAGTGGAAGAACTCTTGTCCCTTCTACATCTGTCTCTGTAACTGCATTTCAAGCAAATAAATAAAACTTTAAACAAAAACAAAAAACATGATACAAGTTTTATAAAATTCTAAAAACAAATCAAACAATATTCAGATTTTGCTGTGCAAATAAATACATTATAACTATTACAAATACGCATTACATGAATGCAAACTGATACACAGAAAACTAAAGGCCAGTAAATACCTGGTAATGATCAGATAGGAAAGATTATGTGAGTTATTGTTTGTGTATTCACAGTCAAGAATAGTAAGCAGATCACAAAGCAAGATGTGCTCAGCAAAATCAACTGTGATTTAATCAGATTTTGTGTCTCTGATGTCCAGTGAGGAATCCATACTTATGTTAGCAGTATATACCTTTTTCCCAGTTTCAGGTGCAAAACAATGTTTTATCTCTGTAACATTTATTTAGCCATTTTTCACATTCCCTTATGGTTTACCTTCTGCGGGGATGATTCGGTTCTCCCAGGAAGCCACATGGTGTCACTGTAAAAAACAGATCATCATCCAATCTGATCTCATTCTGGTTGCAATGATGTGGAGACGTGGGATGTGCTGGGAAATGGAAGTTTCTGAAGTCTTGATAGGATAGTGAACTGGTGTTTATTACATATGCTTTCACCACAGGCATCATTTCGAGATGATTTTCCCCAGAATTAGGAAAGTTGATTTAGAGGCATTTTCTGAGGGTCAGCCATGGATTACTATTTCAGGCTTAACCATATGCAAAGGTCCTTAAAAACTTCATGAAAAATGTGCATTATAAAAAAGTACTGTGTGTAGATGCTAAATTTTTTTTGTTTGCTGTGAAATATATTTTTAATTCCATTTCTTTTAAGTTTTTGAAGAATTCATATAGTATTCTTAGGACCTTTTTTGTCATAAATTAAATTTCATTTTTTTTGCAAGTTAAAAAATATGAACATGTCAGTTTAGTTATTGCTAGTAGTATATAGCTTTTACTTGACACTCTTCTCCATGAGAGAAGGGTAGTACTAATTGCTGCTATTTAAAGCTGTGGTTTGCAAATAGCCTAAAGCAACCACTTAGCTCACTTTGAGTAGATTATAATAAATACATTTTAATAAGTAGTATGGAAGGTATGTTCTTGATTTCAGCTCTATTCCTTTATCTTTTAAAATTCTGCTTTAGAAATATAGCATATGTTTTTAGCCAAGAGTTGATGAACTATGGTGTTTAAAATTAAACAGTAAGAAGCATTTGATTTTTATTGCAGTATAGAAAGCAGAGCTGGAAGGTCTTTAGCTTTAAAATATTAAAAAATGTTAAAAAAAACCAGGTAAAACCAAAACTAAAACTTCTCTCGAAGCTGAAAAAGTCATCAGTTTGTCATCAATCTTTAGAATGAAGATCTCTTCTCTACTTCCCCACCTCACAAAGATGAGTTAATCACATGATAAACATTTTCTAAAGCAGATCTATTTTCCCATTGGCATAAGAAATAACACATGATAAAATCAACAATTTTAATGTTCAATAACGAAGTAAAAGACAATGTAGTTGCCAGTATAAGACACAAGCATAAAATGAGATATTTTTGAAGTGGATATTATACAGAAGACTTTGGGTCCAAAGTTCACACGGAAGACTTAGAAGTTAATAATGGCACAAACATATAGTAATGGCCTTATTTCCAACTTTCCTGTTAAATTCTGTTGCCAAGTTAGATTTATTGCTGGTATTTTACTTGCAGATGTATTTTTTTTAAATAAGCTGACACATATAAACACACACATACATAGGTGTGACGGAAAGATTGTAAAAAAACATTCTTGAACTAAGTTACACTCATAACCAGTAGGCAAAAATAGTTATGAACTCAGGAATTTAAACATTAAAAAGGCACATTTTTAGGAGGTAGAAAATAAGTACAAAAAAAGTATCATTTTGCCATTCTGCAATACTTTTGGCTTTAAGTTTAGTTTTCTACATTTTTTATTTACTGTTCTCCCACTAGTCTATTAGTTGTACTGCCATTCATTGCATGGATGTATAGACTTAGAGTTGCCAAGAAAAGAAAGGGTTTTTTTGCTTGTTTGTTTGTTTTTAAAGTTTTACTGCTAAGTCACCAAATGCACCTGATATTCAGGCATCAACTAAGAACATTTCTCATGTCTCTACTTGGGTAATTCACTTCATAACACAATACGCCAGTGTAAAAAAAAAAACCTTGATAAAAGAATGCAATTCTAATATACTAGAATAATTTTACAAACCTAAATTTGTGTTGTTTTCATTACACTGATTTGGGAAGGTATATATTACAACTGTATTACTAGTGCTAACTGAAAATAGGCATGTGTTTTACTAAAAAACATATCGTATCCAAAATGAGCTGCATTTCCTTCCAGAGTTGTATTGTGCTGATATTCCAGACAGTATTATAATAAAGAATGCATACTGGTGAGTATGTTAGCACTGAGATCACTTGCTTAATATTACTTTAAGAATGAAATCACTGGACGTATCTAAGGCAGGTAAAAGTAACATTAAATCTCTTAAGGGTAACAGTTTAAACTTACACCTGATAGAAAAGTGCTGTTAAGAATAAAACAAAGCACTAAAACACATACTGGTCTGTAGGGCTTTTATTAAGAATTAATTCACCGGGCCCGGCGCGGTGGCGCAAGCGGTTAAGGTCCTCGCCTTGCACGCCCGGGATCCCATATGGGCGCCGATTCTAATCCCGGCAGCCCCGCTTCCCTTCCAGCTCCCTGCCTGTGGCCTGGAAAAGCAGTCAAGGACAGCCCAAAGCTTTGGGAACCTGCACCCGTGTGGGAGACCCGGAAGAGGCTCCTGGCTTCGGATCGGCATAGCATCAGCCGTTGCACTCACTTGGGGAGTGAGTCATCGGACGGAAGATCTTCCTCTCTGTCTCTCCTCTCTGCATATCCGCCTTTCCAATAAACAAAATAATAAAAATAAATCTTAAAAAAAAAGAATTAATTCACACACATTCCTGCTGCTGGAGCTGATGAACCAAAGATGAATGGACTCTTGCCCCCCTTTAACACCTGTCCCAGTCTTGAAAACGGAAGCAATCGCTTGCTATCTTCCACACCGCATTGGTGGAAGTGGACTGAGCAGTAAGTAGGAAATTTTGGTTGAAGAAATGTTTCTTGTTTCCATCAAACTTCACGGTTCCACTGGTCACAACGAGAACTGTTGGCTGGGACTGGGTAGCTTGTTCATGAACTGGCTGGCAATCTAACATGTTGACTTGAAATTGGCTTGACGGCAACATGTCAAAAAAATTGGTCAGGGAATCCAGCCCTGTAACAGCGTTTCCATTCCAGATTAGAGTGGCCTTGTCCAGATACAGCCTGGGGAGTGCCTGCCGTCTCTTATCCATTGTCTCGTAGTAGATGTTCACAAACTCCTCAGCAGCGTGGCAGGCCTGATCTACGTAAGTTTTGAACTCCACGGACGTGGACATCGGGGACCTTGCAGCAGCCTCTGCTGGTAGTGGCGGAGTCACCACCTCCTCGCGGGTGTGACTTCTTCGGCTGTTAAAGTACCAAACGTTCAGAAAGAGATCCAAATCGGCCAAAACGCGCACAATTTTCTAAACCGCCCGTTCGCTCCCGGAAGTAGAGTGGTCCCAGGATTTGTTTTTGATTCTTCATCATTAGTGCAGAAAATTTTGGTCAGGCTTAAGATGGTATATTTCAGTTTCTTAGGCATAGTCTCGTAGCATTGAACTTTAGGAGGAAAAGGTCTACATTTGTGCCTTTTGCTCTGTTCAAGTTCCTCAGTCTTTTGAAAAGAGGCAGCAATAATGGCTACATTTTTGCACATGTTATCTCTCTTTCTCTTCTCTCTCTCTCTCTCTCTCACTTGTTACCTCTAATTAAACACAGACTCATAAACTTGGTTGCTTTATCATGAATGGTGGATGCGACTTTGTGATTCTTGTACAGTTCAGGAAACAGTTGTTAGCTGCACTAATCAAAACTTAGGAAAGATAAGCGCAAGTTTCTTCAAAATGTCCAGCCCCCACCCCCTAATGACTGAAATAAACGTTGCAGTGGTGCTGCTTCTTGTTATTAAGTTTCTGAAATTAGAATTAGGTGGAGGATCATTTCTGACTCAGTATAACATCCTGATGAGTACCTTTCCTGTAGTCAAGTAAGACTAAGTGGGACATAGTCAACAATGGTTTCCCACTTAATTTCATTTTAAAAAGTAGAGAACTATACCATCTACCTTTTACAAAGCCCCGACATTTCATATTGGATTCCCCAAAGACCTTGATAGAGTGAAGCTATCAAAGCTGGAAATGGAATTTCATTCTTTCACACCTGAGTTTGAGTTGCCCACTTCCTCTGCACACTTCACTTTCTGGTTGAAACAACACACTTTCAGACACCGAAACACTAAACATTTCTTGAGTTATATGTTACAACCAAATTCAGCTGACTCAGTAACCAGTTCCACGTTGTATCATTTATTTACACTCATAGGTAATTTATGTTGTCACGGGTGGGAGGAAAAACTATCTGTATGTGCCTGGAAAGCATGTATACTTGTATATTTTAAATTTAAAAGATGATATAGCAGTAAGGAAACCAAAAAATCTGTTATTGATGCTTACAATCATATGACCTTGTCTATAAGACCCATATAGCCAAGTTAATTACGAGGACAATAATATTACAATACCTAATTTTTCTTTATGAAATACCAATATTGTGGGCACATAAGGGAGAAAGAATATGACATTTTTGTGTTTGTGTTAACCTAGTGAGGTAGCATGGAGACACGTGCAATCAGAAGAATCGTAGAGACGTGGTGTTGCTTTGTAAATGGTAGAATTTAATTCTTTCTGAAGTCTGAGTGGAAGTCCATGGAGTAGATGCACCGCAGTTTCTTTATCCATTGCTCTTTGGATGGGCTTCTGGGTTGTTTCCAGGTCTTTGACATCGCTGATTGTACTGCTACAAATATAGGATTATAGATTCCTTTCTCATATGCAGATCTCATTTCTTTGGATAGTTCCCAAAAGTGGGATAGCTGAGTCCCATGGCCCAGTTTGGAGTTCTCTAAGCATTCTCCATACTGACTTCCATAGCGGCTGTACTAGCCTACACTCCCAATGCCAGCAGCTGTTAGTACAGTTCTGTTAGGTGGAACCTCAATGTTTTTTGGTTTGTATCTCCCTGATGGCTAGGGAGCCTGAGCATTTTTTATATGTGTCTTAGCAATTTGAATTTGTTCTTTAAAAAAATGTATGTTCGTGTCCTTCACCCATTTCTTCACAGGGTTGTTTGTTTTGCTGTCACTGAGTTTCTAAAACTCTTTGTAAATCCTGGATATTAATCCCCTATTGGCTGTGTAGTATGCCAAGATTTTCTCCCAGTCTATTGGTTGTTTCTTCATTTTGTTGATCATGTCTTCGCTGCATAGAACCTTTTTAGTTTGATGTAGTCCCAGTTGTTTGTTTTGGTTTTGACTACCTGTGCTTTTGTTGTCTTTTCCAAGAAGTCTTTGCCCTCTAGCAATCATTCTAGTGCAAGCAGGGCCCTGATATTTTCCAATGACCAGTTTTAAATCTCACCTTGCATGGGGTCTCTTGCTTCTCAGTTAAAATTCAGAGCAAACAGAATTTTCACATCATAAAAGAACACATGCAAACGTAACACTTAAATACACAAGCAATGTAAACCAGCAGCATCTGTGGTTTTGGCATGACCAGGTGAATTGTTTAAGATATAATAATTATGCCCAATTTACCAGTCTAGAAGAATGTATTATTATTATTATTATTTTTTTTTTTGGTCACAATTACGCTGGGGAAAATAAAGAAAAATCAAATTAATGGGTAGTAAAACTTCCCAAGCCTGGGCTGTGAGACAAAGCTTGGACTGTGACATTCTTAGATCTTCTGAAATAAGGATCCATGCAACTATTTTTCTGCTTGAACAATTGATTTTATCCAAATGCCTGGGGTTGGGATCCCTAGAGCCACTGGAAAGTCAGTGGTTCAGATTTCCTAAGGTAGCCTGTGTGTAGAAGCGAGCTTAGAGTCCTCAACCCTGCAGGTGGTTGCTCTAGCAGAAACTCTTGAGAGGACTCAGGAGTGGTTTGGGCTCATTCAAGATGTCAAACTTCAGATTGACAAAGTGCTTTTTTTTATATTCACTGTTCAAATCCCCTTGAGACTAATTAAGTTTAAAAAAAAACCCAATTGTTACAGTTCAGATCTTCCAGTCCTATATAAACGTTTGCAACAGGTAGAAAAGAAAGGAATTTCTTCATTGTGGGCTTAATGATGGCATCTTCTGGGGTGCAGCAGGTATGTGGAAAAGGGCTTGTTAAGGGAAGGTCGATGTTTCCTCATTCTCAACATTTTACAAGAAGCAAATTGTCACCAAATCAATTGCTGGTGCAGTGATTGATTCTAAGTTTTTGCATTTTGATTACACGTAGAGAGAATACGTAGGAATGTGGAATTTGTAGAAAGTTAAAAATGAATTTATAACAAAAATGAGATCCATTTTAATATGTATAGAGAATGGTGTTCTGCCTTCTGGTGGTACAACTTATTTCCTAGGAAGAATATGTAGAATCCTGAAAGGTTTACTTCTTTATACGTAGTATGTGGAATAAATAACTTGTCCCTGGTGTTGCGAGTTAGGGCTGTTATTTGACTTTTTACATACAATCTTGTTTACTTTCCTGAGGAAGATATTTTCTGGTAAAAATGTTTTTGAATGTAGCATTTATCTTCAATAAAGGAGAAGAGAGGGAAGAAACAAAGGAATGAAGGGAAGGGAAGAGAGAGAAATGACAGAGAGGAAGAAACACTGGATACTGTTCGTTATATAGCAGGCATTGTGCTAAGGTTGTTCTTATGCATTATTTAATGTTAAGATTTACTAAAATTAAATATTTATGGAAATTAAACAAACACAAGAAATAAGTACTTAGAGAAGGATGGAATTATTCCAGAAATGCAATGAGGATGATCAGCAGGAAGAAGGATATAACACAAATCCTTCACAGTTTTAAGTGCTTACTGCAAATATAGTAAAAAGCAAAACAAATTTGATGACATGTTAGCAATGAGATCACATTTAAAAAACGAGAAAATTGTCATTGTGATCATCATCCTGTGTTTTCAGCACTTTCTTTGACACTATTTTAACAATATGTTAGAATAAAATTTAAATGCAGTATTTGCTTTTAAAGAGGGGTGATGCTTAAATGGAATCAAAGTAATGTTTCCTGAACTCATCAGATAATCATCTCACATTCCCCTCCAAGTTCTATGGTGGTTAAATCAACTTACACATCATAATCTGCCTTCAGAGCACTTTATTCTGAAATTTACTGCTGTTTGCTAATTAAAATCTCTGAACACTAAGGAGGAAAAGGAATCGTACTACCCTGTAATTTGAGCCATAGAAGAGCTGAGTATGAGTTTTACAAAAATTAGAATAACAGAATAATTAGTCATTTTGGAGCTGCTGTATCAGGAACACTAAGAGGTTTAGAAATGATCTTGAAATATCCCGCTGCTATGTGGTTGCCTCATTGCCTTTCAGCATAAGAGTCTTATGTGTGTTTCTATGATAGCCGATACAATAGAATAATTCATTTCTCTTAATTTTCTAATAAGAAAAGTGATTGGAAAAGCAAAACAACAGAATTTCCTATGCATTTCCTGTGCTTTCTCATGAGCACACCCAGTAAGCAGAATCTCACTTTCTTTATTGGTAATATAAATATTGCATTTTCTCTAGAATTTTTTTCTGCAGTGGTGTTTAAATGGTCAGCAGGTGGGCAATAGACAATGGCTAGTAAAGAATGAACATGCTGCTGAGTGGAGGGGAAATTCCCTTACCTCTGCTCTGACTCTCCCATCCCTGTAGAAATGCTGGGAGGAACAGGAACGGGATGCTATATATGTATTTAAAACCTCCGATATACCTACTACAAAGGAATTAATTTGATACTTGGTTACATACACTTAAATTTTTTGGGATAAATTTTTTAAATAAAACTATCCTTTAGGAATAAATCTGTTGTTTCTGTGGGTAGCCTTTAGGGTGGCAAGACCTCTGCTATTGTTTGACAGTGCTTCTGTTGGGTGGTGTGAAACCATCAAGGTCACAAATGAAAAAATGGCTTCTTCCTCTGTCTTTAGTCGCACTGCTAAAAATATGTCCTTCCACTCAGGCCATTAGTTCTCTGCAGGTTGGGACTGAACTCCAAGTAGGATGAATAAGGAAGACAGAACTAACCTGGAATCGTCACTTGGAATACATTGAAGCAACCTTTTTAAAATTTTAAATTTTTTGACATTTTATTTGAAAGAGAGACAGAAGCAGTAAGACAATTGAAGAGAAATCTTTCATATGCTATTTTACTTCCCAAATGCTTGCCAATGGCCTGCACTGGAATGGACTGAAACGCAGGAGCCAGGAACTCAATCATGCAGGTGTCAGGCACCCAAGTAGACTTGAGTTGTCAACTGCTGCCTTACAGAATGCATGTTAAGAGGAAGCTGGTTTGGATGCAGAGGAGTTGGGACTGGAATCAGGCTTTCTGGTGTGGAATGTAGGCTTCTCAATCAATCCAGGAAGAAAACTTTTTAAGTTTATGTTCCCTTGCCTGGAGCTAACTGAATTGATTTCATAGTATTCACTATCCAAATTTAAGGGTGAAGTTGGCAAGAAACA